TTTTGTTTCCCTACAGTGTCAAGAATGAAGTTTCAGAAATTCATTGATGTATTCTTAATATTCTTGAGTCAGTTAATACAAATAAGGGGTCCCTGTGAGTTGCCAACTTTTGCATAACACAAAAAGAAAATGCTTTAGATAGATGAAAGTTGCTCTGAGAGAACTGAATACCAGTCTGCTTCCATGGCACAGGTTATCGCTCAGTATGCACATCTGTAAAATGGGGACTTCCTTGCAGTATTGGTGAGGCTAAATGAAAATTCATTAAGCACTCTGTATATTGTCTGGTCTACAGTGAGCACCCAGTACATTCAAGTTTCCTTTTTCAAATCTAGAACAGTCCCAGTACCCATGTGACATGGTAGTAAATACACAAGCAAATCAGTAAAAGATATTCGCTAGCTCAGACACTCGGAACATTGCTGCTCATTGCACTAAAAACACCCTATCACCCGCCTTTGGTGAAATTTCTGCTCATTGTTCTACACTATTTCCTGTTAGTTAAGAACTTGGGGAAAGATTATTATCCAGTCTTAATACACAATAGTTCCCCTTATCCACTGGGCAAAACCCAACTCCACTGGATGCTTGAAATTGTAGATAATACCAAACCCTATGTATACAATGCTGTGTTTTCCTACACTTACTTACCTGTGATAAAAGTAACTTATGAATTAGGTACAGTAAAAGATCAACAACACAACTAAGACTAAAATAGGACAATTATAATGTAATAAGAGTTTATGTGGTTGTGGTCTCTCACAATATCACACAGTACCATGCTCACCCTTCTCGTGATGATGTGAAATCATACGATGGCTTCGTGACAGATAAAATGAGGTTCATGACAGAGACGCTGACGCAGCACTGGGCTCCGTGCAAGGCTTGGCTGAGCACAAGCACTGCCAAAACTTGACAGTGATCTGATGACCAGGACGGCTACCAAATGACTAACAGGTAGGTAACCGCATCGAGCAGGGATCCGCTCCACAAAGGCTGATTCATGTCCCAGGCAGGGTGGGGCAGGACAGCGTGGGATTTTGTCAGACAAGTACAGATGGCGCGCAAATTAAAAGTTATGAATTATTTCTGGAATTTCTCATTTTATGTTTTTTGACTGGTTGACTACCCACAACTAAAATGGAGGACAGCAAAACTGGAGAGGTGAGGGGGCTGGTGTATTAGAAAATGCTTTTCTTACTGGCAACTCGTTTGTGTTTAAACCGTGAACTGTGTTATTGATTACAACTGAATCTTCCTATTGGCTGGTAGAAAATGTAGAATCGAATTTGTTGCTTAGTGTTCAGCAAGTTTGTAGGACTTCACTGTATATGTTCTCGCATTAACTTCACTCCTGGCTCCATGTTATATCTCTCAGGTTTCTTTCCTTTGCAACATATTTTTACCTACATTTAAAGTGATCTTGGTATAGTATATATTTCTTTATAAGCTGTCTTCAATCCTATGAAGAGAATAGAAATATAAATTTCTGTATATAGCAATCGGAAAACAAACACTAAATTTTCATATATAAGCTGAAAAAGAAAGTTTTAATTTTTTTATTTTAACAAAAAAAGCCAACACATCTTGTCCATTTCCTTTGAAAAGCCTAATTATGCAGGATTTCCTTGTTCTGTGTTATTTTCCACCCCAAAGCACACTCATCAAAGTTGTTTACATAAGCTTACTATTCTGGGCTGTTGATTACAAGCAGAGAAAGAATTTACTTGAAGGATCCTGGGCAGCCCACAGTCACCCCTCGTCCTGAAGACCTAGACTCCAGAGATCTTCAGGGAAGGTCAAGCGGCTGCACTTGCAGTGTAAATCCCAGCCAAGCGCCAGTGCTGGAGGATGCCGCCGCCTGAACCACGGACACCTCTCCCAGGGCCGTCCTGTCCTCCAGCGCCCTGCTTCCCCAGCTGCCCACAGCGCGGGTTCTCGGCAGCCTCTGTCTCTGTATCACTGCCCGTGATTCCCCCACTGCTTGACTCACATAATGATACTGTCTGACCTATGGTCTGACCTAATCTTTTCAAATGTTTATAGTGAAAATGGGCTCTGCTCCCTTCCACACGCATCCAATGAAAACTTCCCAAACATAAAAAGAAGATTCAGTCGGATTGCAGACAGGCAAAACACACATCTACCCTCTCTTTTATTCATATCTGTTTTTAGAAAAGAGTGTTTAATACAAATAAACAAAAACATTTTTTAAGTCTCCAACTAATGGGAAATAGCTGAAAGCCTTATCAATTGCTACACACACTCTCATTCCTCCTCCAGCGTAGAAAAACCTTAACCAATAGCTACAACCTATTTATATTTCACACTCAACACACCTTTTATAAAATCGTGCACCAAAGGGAGAAAGAAACTTTTAACTTAAATATATAAACATACTCATGCAGTGAAAAGGAAAGGAAGTGAGCAGGACTCATCCTGCACATTCTACAGAAATATGATCCATCAAGCTGGAGATATTTTGATCAATCGTGAACCTTTGTGTCCTATTAAAATGTGTACACATAAAAACAGACTGCAGAACTATTTATTTCCAGGTTCATGTTCTAGAAATAATGGAAGTAGGGCTATAATTTTACGATTCTGCAGTAATTTTACAAACTGTAGCTTGCAGTTAGCTCTTGATGGAATGTTATGTTTTACTGGGATTTATGAACTCATTATTCCTGTAGGTGATTTAATTATACAGTCTTCCTTAAATTTTGCATACACAATTTCAACAAACAAGTCTTCCACCATTATAAGGGTTCAAAATGCCGCATAAAAAAATATATTTAAGTCACAGAGATAATGTTTTTGAAGTAAAAAGCGACATATTTGGTACCTACCTACTTTGAAGAAAACAGGAAATATCCTTCTCTCAATGTGCAAAGTAAACTTTCTTCTTGAAAATTCTCCCTAAACGTGAATGCCATCGATGACCCCATAGTTAAACGTGCTGTTGGAAGGTGGGGCCTGATTAGAGGAGGTGGGTCATTGGGAACCCGACTTTGTGCACTCTCTCTCCCTCTTTCTCCCCCTTCTCCCCCTTCCCTCCCTCTTTCTTTCCTCCCCTCTCTCCTCTACCTCCCTCTCTCTGGATCTTCCTCCTCTCTCTGCTTTGTGGCAGCATTTCTCCGCCAAGCCCTTCCACCCTGATGTTCTTGCCTTGGAGCAGCCAATCATGGACTGAACCGTCTAAAACTGTGGGATGCGACTCACTTCCTATTTATTTATTTAAAGTTTATTGGTACATTTTAGGTATACAACACACTTACGTTCATCATTGGGATCTTGTACCTTTACGTGATGTATCTTGGTTCTTATTTCTTCCCCAAATCGCTTCTTAGTAGTGAGTGCCAGTATTTTGTCCCAGCAATGAAGCAGTTGACTGATGCACTGGGCAGCTTAGTGAAACCTGTCTGAAGAGGGCAGGGAGGGCACACTGGTGGCATAAAGAACCATCATTACTTATAGGCCTCATGGTGAGAGATGATAATGGCTGAAGCAAGGACTGTGGAGGCACAGTCCCCCACGAAGGCTCTGATGCTCTCTGCTCTCTCTATCTATATCCAACAGCCTCATCCTATAGAAGGTACTGTGGTTCTTGGATTGGCATATTATGGACCAATGACTACAGTAATAATAATAATGTCATATTTTTCAGAGTATAGTCACATTTTGGAGTTATGTAATTTTTGAGTTGAATGGTGCCTGCTAGTTCTCAGTCTTGCCTAGATAGTGTAATCACACCTGGGAAGGTTTAAAAATCACTGATGTGCTTAAATGCCACAGATCCTAATGCCATAGATTGGTGTCAGGTGTGGTCTAAGCGGTAGGCTTTTAAAAATATCCCCAGCTGATGCTAATGTGCTGTCAAGGTTCAGTGCCTCCCTTTAGAGCTCCTTTCCTCTCTCCTCCACATTCATTCTGTAGATATAGGGAGACTCTGGGAGTCTGTGCCTTGCTCAGAATCACCAACTGGTTAGTGCCATTTAGTTCAGTACAGCAATTTGGCTACTTTTTTCTGCTAAAGACCAGGGTCAGTAAGTGAACTTGAGATTTTCACTAGCGGGACTGCTTCAGACTGAACCAGAGCCCTGAGAAGCTGCTGTCCTGGGGATATCTGGAGCCGTCACAGACCAGCCTCATTATTGAATCCAAACATCTCTCCTATGGGCATGAATTCCCTCCACTTTATAGATGATGAAATTGGTGTCCAGATAGATTATTTACCTTTAATTTAAAAAAAAAATTGGTACAGGGATTGAGCTCGGAACGTTGCGCCTGTAAGGCAGGCACGGTGCCACTGAGCTAAATCCCCGGCCAGTCCAGATAGATTCTTAACAGGTCATTTAGTTATAGTTGGGAACTTTTCAATAAAATCCTATTATAATTACCTCTAACGTTCATCTACATCATTTTTGTTTTATTTTAGAAATCATATCCCTTGTAGCGCTTAAAATTTAATTGATTCCCACCCCTCTCATGAATTAAATGAAAGAAAGCATTCCTCAGATAAAAAGAGAAATGTATTAATTGCCTGAAAGGATAAACACGTTCCCCCTTGTGGCAATCTGTGGTTAACAAGGTTCTCTTTTATGCCAATAAGTTATTTATAATGGCATTCATCTAAGAGGATTTTTCTTGTAGTAAAGTCTCCCAAGAAACAGGAAATCTCATGGGAAATGTTCATTAGCACGAGTAAAATGCATGAGATCATGTGTAAGAGGATCATACATAAATAACTGCATTTGTAAATGCTATTCTGGGAGAGGGAGGTAATTAGTGTTTCACTGGGAAGGCATTGACCCATCAGCCCATGGCATTTGGAACACTATTGGCAGAATCCCCCAGCACTACCAGATCTGCGGTTCACTGCTACTGACGGGGGAGGGGTGACCGGTGGAACAATGTCTTCTGCTGATGACGCGTGAGCGCATCAGAAAGAGCCCCTCTGTGACTGCCTGACTCACGGTGACTCATACTTTGACCTCAGAGGAAAGAGTCACGTATTTCACGCCATGGCTTCTCACATCTTTTTTTTCTAAACCTAATGTGCCTCTCTGCAGGGCAACCATGTCTTCATCTCTCCAGTTTCCTTCAGTTGTTGGCCCCAAACCAGGGGGCTTCCTCCTTGTTCAGCTCCAGCAGAAACCCCTGGCCATTTGCCTGCTGATAGGTAGTCTCTACACCTGTCCTGTAGGTAAGTGTCATAAGTTATAGTTGTTGGGGAGATCTGGTTAACTGCTCATAAACCTTGCTGCCCCATGTTACAGTTTATATCTCGAAGTCCCCTGAAAGCATCATGTACTCATAGGTGGGGCTCTTGGGAGGTGACTGGATCACAGGGCATGATACTCATCAGTGGATGAGTCCACTGATGTGTTTATAGCTAAATTGATGTTGGGAAGTACAGCCTGGTTGGAGGAGGTGGGTCACTATAGGTAGGCGTGGCCTGGAAGGATCTATCGCCCTTCTTCCTCCTTTGATCTCTTTGCCTCCTGACTGCCATGCCATGAAGGTACTTTTCCTCTGTCGTGGCCCTCTGCCGTGCCACCCTGCCTCGGAGCCAGCCAATTATGGACTGAAATCTCTACAAGCTGTGAGCCCAAATAAGCCTTTCCTCCTTTAAATTATGGATGCTGGTATTGTGTCTGAGCAAGGAGAAAGTAACTAAGATACTTGTCCATTATCTTTCTATAATACAATGAGAAAAAAAGCAAGAATTTTCTGCTCTTTTCACTGATGTTTCTGATTGCAAAAACATAACTATTTTCTGTTGCCACAGACTAGGAAATTTATAAAGAATGAAGTTTTATTTCACCCATGGTTTTGAAGGCTGAACTTTGAGATCTGGCAGCTGCACTTGGTGAGGTCCTTTCTGCTGGTGGGGACTTTCTACTGCATCCTGAGTCAAGCACAGAGCATGGCAAGAAAAACCACTTTATCTCTGGTATCTCATCCTTTTCTCCTCTCTTTAAAAATTTTTCTCCAGTGTTGGGTATTGAACCTGGGATGTTTACTCTGAACTGCAACCCTAGCCCTTCTTAAATTTTTGAGACAGAGCCTTGCTAAATGTTCCATCAGGGACTCAAACTTGCAACCACCTGCCTCACCCTTCTAAGCTGCTGGGCTTATGGTATGCACCACTGTACCAAGCTCTTTTCTTTATAGAAAAACAAAGTCCCATCGGATTAGGGCCCCAACCTTGTGGCTTCATTTTACCTCGAGTAACTCCCAAAAGTCTTACCTTGAAATACCACAGTCAGATTGTTTCCTTCCAATGAACATTAAATTTCAGTATGAGTTTTGTTGGGAACATTCAAATTATAGTGGTAACAAGGTGTACAGACACACACACACACACACACACACACACATATAAATGTGTAGGATATGAATATAGTTTTCTGTCTCTCAGTAAAAATTCATAAGAAAATATACCAAATTGCTAAACATTGGTTAAAGCTGATCTTTCTCTACTTTTTAAACTGTACATTCTAAATATTCTATAATGAGCTATTTAATTTATATATACAAAAATAATACATACAATCTTTTCCCATTATAGGTATAAATGATCCTATCATTTTAGTCTGTGGCAAACAGTAATTAGCTAAAGTGCTGATGTACCTTAAACCAGACAGATGGGTTTCTTCTGACTCCATTTCTTTGTAGATGAAATGAAGGTTTGAATTAGCCAAGAAAGTATATTTAGACAAAACTGGGAAGGTTTAAAAGATATTGCTGGCTATAAAAAGGTAACATGTAGGATCCTAGTGATGAAAATGTTCTGTATCGTGACTGTATCAATGTCAGTATCCCGATTATGGTTTTTCAAGATGTTACCATAGGGAAAATTGGTAAAGGGTACACAGGATCTCCATGTATTATTTTTGAAAACTACAATTACTTCAAAATTAGAAGAGTTTTTTGTTGTTTTGTTTTTCTTTTATTGTTGTTGTTGTTGTTTCATTTGGTTTTGGTGCTAGGAATTAAATCCAAGGTCTCACACATGCTAGATAGGTGATCTACCATCGAGCTACATCCCCATCCCTGAAAAGAATAATTAAAAAAAAACTCTAAAAGATAGTTCTCTACTGTTTCTTATGTGCATTATTGGCAGAGAGAATTCATCATATTATCCATTTCAGAGTCATTCTGGAGGCAAATGTGTAATATTTTACTGAATAGTTTTGGTGGCAAAAATTACTGTACCATCGTAAACAGTTTCTCACAGAAATACCTTTCAGAGTAACTGTGGGTGATTAGCACCATAGTCTGTTAGTTGAGAACATGCAGTTTAGAAAGGCATGCCTTCTTTCATGCATCACTGTGTAGCCTGCACATCTTGAGAGTGAGGTCCTGGTGCCCTTTGTTCTGAACTAACTCTTCAAGGAGGTTTGTTTGATGAACAGCCTTGGAAGCCAGGGTGTCCTGCTTCAGAGCAAAGGGCAGGCATCTGATTGTGCACTGAGAAATGCGTAGGTCCCCTGAGCTCAGGCTTCCTCCACTGCAGTGTAGCCAGGGAGTACACAGTGTCACCTGGACCTCTGTAGAAATTGGGGCTTGGGGAACGAGAGAGAACAGGAGGACACTCAGGCTGCTTCTGTTCCTGTAAGTCATAAATGGTCTTTTGCCTCTCAGCCAGGAGTCTCATGTTTAGCATCACCCATGGAACTTGTCAATTTGTATGTAAAGTAAAATCTCAGACTCTTCCAAGTTCTTGACAGTTTTGGTGATGAAGATACGATGCCGACAGAGATGTGGCCTTCTAGAATAGGGAGGATGATGACCTCTTAAGCCAGCTAATGTGATCTGAGGAGGAAGTCCATAAAAGACAGCAGGAAACATATTAACTAAATTTTACAGTCAACAGGGCAATAAATGGTCTTTCATTTTATTGCATGTCTATCAAGGGAAATTGGAAAGGTGGTTGAAGGTTGAATACTAGCGGGTAGGCTCAAAGAGCGCTGCATGCACAGTGCCCTGGTCGTTGCTAACCATCCTTCAGATGGAGGACGTATTTGCCAGTCTGGCAGTAGCCTCCGGTCCTCCTCTTTTAATATCTAGTACCAAGATTTGTCCTAGGGATGCAGAAGTTTCTTTCTCCTTTTCCAGGAAGTGGTATCAGCAAAGAGGACACTGCCAGCTAATATAGAGCATTTGCAGGGGCCAAGACCAATGAGCAGTGATCCAGGTTGTTTGAAACTGAAAGTGAATGCAAAGACTTCTTTAATGAACAGAGCCACTCTCTCCCTTTGTGCTCTGATTCCTTCCTCCTCCTCATCCCTGAACCCAACCACTTCAAGGAAAAGAATAGTTAGGTGTGTATCTATGGTGACATCAAAGACTGCACTAACTTACATAAGTATCCTGGAAAGTTGGAGAGCGAGAAAAGACATAAATCTTCAACTGCATAGGATACGGGTATCAAAATCATGACTCCATGACATGAGCAGCTTCCCTCCTCAGTAGGCCCTTCTATCGTGCCATTTCTGCTTTGGAGCCAGGTGACCTGCAACTATAACCACGAGCCAAAAATAAATCTCTCCTCCATTAAGTTGTAGGCGTCGGGTAGTGTTTCTCAGAAAGTGACTAAGTTTTTAGATTGCACTGGAAACCTTAATACCTTCCAGGCAGGAGAACCCATTTGAGGCACCACCAACCTATGGTCCTCAATGGATGAGAGTCCTGCCTGAGAGAACACTAAAACTTGCAAACAACCTTTTTCCTATAAGGTACACTGTACATCGGAGAAACTGTAATTCTTTTTTTTTTCTTTTTATTGAGTTTATTGGTACATTTAGGGATACAGTACAGTTACATTCATTGTTAGAACCCATTTGGCACCACCAACCTATGGTCCTCAATGGATGAGAGTCCTGCCTGAGAGAACACTAAAACTTGCAAACAACCTTTTTCCTATAAGGTACACTGTACATCGGAGAAACTGTAATTCTTTTTTTTTTCTTTTTTTTTTTACCTGGGATTGAACTCGGGTCCT